CAGAAACTACTTTTGTCTTTTCTTTTTTCTTATTTGGTGACTTTTCTCCACCAGTTATTTTTTTCTCCTTCGCTTTATTCGCTGTAGTTTTGTTCGGAGATTGTTTTTCGTCTTTTTTTTCGACAAGCTTTTGCAAACTCTCATTTTCCGCCCCATCATCACTAATATCACTTATATCTTTAACACTATGAACGCTTTCAACTACATCAACGGGTTTTGAAGATTTATCTGGTATAATTTTTGCTGTTTTGGATGTTTTATCTACTGGTTTTGTTGTTTTTGTTGTTTTTATTGTTTTTGTTGTTGGTGGTGTATCTTTTTTTTCGACCGTGTCGTTTTTTTTTATATTTTTTACAGCATTTTTTGGTTTTCGTCCACGTTTCTTTTCTTGAGTTGGCTTTGCCTTTTCTTTTTCTTTTTCTTTTTCTTTTTCTACCGCTTTAGTAGTATCTTGTTTCTTTGTACTCGTTTCTTTAGTTGCTTTGCTATCTTTAGCGGTCGAAGCGACCGCTGGTTGAGTGTTTTTAGCTGGCATACCCCTACTACGTCTGAACTTAATTAGTTCATACTTATCCAAGTAGGGCATTAACATCTCTAACTCTTCCTCTGTAGTAGTGGAAGGACGCGGTTCAGTTGTCTTCTTTCCTGATTTACTACTGGGTGACTTCTCCACCTTTGGGCTTTCTGCCTTTTTCTTCGCATTACGAGTTTTAGATTGCGTTGGTTTCTGTTTCTTGCGTTCAGCACTAGAACCACGTGAAACTGATGAATTACGACTAGATGCCGATTTGGAATCTTCTTCTTTATAAAATTCTAAGCTTTTTCCAAAATTTTTAGAACCGGGAACCTTTTTAACTGTTGTTAACAACTCGGAGAGATCATCATTAAGTGCACTTTTTGAGTATTTTTTATGTAAATCAACTTTAAAAGGAGACATACTTCGTGAACGCGAATCAAAATCTCTGTCATCCATATCCTCTTCTAATTCCGACGCTGAAGCTGCAAGCGCTGCGGCAGCTGGTGGTGGGAAATCACTACCTACATTTTTGGCTTTTAGAGGTTTTTCACAATCACTACTTAAATGGTCGCTTTCACTGACTGAGGCTTTAGATTTCACTTTCGATTTAGTATTTTTAGCTTTGTTCTGTCGTTTAAGCGCAGCGGCTGATGTCGAAGCATGTGAATGTTTTATGGCAGATTGTTTTTTGGTGCCAATCACATTTTCTTTACTATTTTTGTATTTTGATTTTTTGCTATTATTGACTTCATAATTTTCATCATCCTCATCATCATCGGTCTCGTGCTGTGTATCTGTGGAATATGTCGATTCATCTTCAGACAAATCAGACGCATCTGAAATGTGATGTTTATGTTTAGAAGATTTTCTCGCACCTTTTTTAGATTTGCTATGTTGCTTTGTTTTAGAAGACTTTGAGGATTTACCCACTTTTTCAATCTTCTGTTTTTTATTCTTTTTTGCAGATTCTTTCATTAATTTACTTTTACTTATTTTCTCTACGTTCACTTTTTCTAAAATTTCTTCATCCTTATTTTCAATACTACTTTTTATGTTTTTCACAATATCCTTTTGAATAATTTCATCATCATCCAAATCAGATAAAGAATTTTCTTCTACATTTTTTGTTTTCAACTTTTTCTTGTGTCTTTTATCTTTCTCTTTGCGTTTACGCTTGTTGCCTTTCTGTTCACGTTCCTCATCCATATCAATATCTTCACTAGTTGCATCATCTTGATCTTCATCATCGTCTATGCTATTATCTTTTTTACTTGTTTTCTTCTTATGTGTACTCTTATGTGATGCAACTTTATCCACTGCTCCTACTGCATTCGATTCCTTTGACTTTTTCATATATTTCTCACGAAATACATTCATTTTGGTATCTGCAGTAGGATAAGCTAAGTTAAACTCATCATCATCGTCATCAGACAAATTCTCAAAATACTTCTTTGTTGCCTTATCAAAAGCATCTTGTAAATTGTTTACCATTTCCGTATATTCTAGAATGAGAAAAACAAAAAGAAAGTTAAATTTGTGTCATAATTTAAAATAATTCTGTGAACATAAATCCTTAAATGTTTGAAAAAGAGGAAAAATTAAGAAATTTGAGTTCTTCAAAGACAAATCCTTCAATGTTAGAAAAAGAGGGAAGATGAAGAAAGAGCGTGACATGAAATGGCGTTATTAAAATGGTTTTAGTACGCAACGTCCCCGATGAAACGGCCTACCTGTTATGTCTATTATCGCTCATTATGATAAAGGATATCAAGAAAAAATGTATTGATATTATAATAAAATAAATGCGGTAATGTAAAATGACTTCAAACTGTTTTGAATCAAATACTTAATCGGTGTTTTCACGCTGTATGTTACATGGAGGGTGTTCAATGCATATAATTGACAGAAGGAATAGTTGTAAATTTTTGAATAAATTCTATTGTACCGTTTGGCTTGATTTGTAAAAGAAACAATTTTTGAAGATTTCAGTACTTCATACTACAATATAAGTGCATGTACATGAGATATGCAAAAGAAAATGACTATATTTAAGTCGAAGGATAGTATATACATTTATAAGAACATAGCCTAACGTGTGTCATAGCTGCACCTCTACTCCTCCTGACATCAGATGTCGCTTATCTGTCTTCCTGTCCCAAACACACAGAAACTTGAGCTCAATCGATCTTTGAAGTGGTGAAGTATTTTCGCTATGATCCTTATTAATTTCAATTTAAATCCAATACATTCGGTATCCATTCTTACTAATAAATTAACCCCTCCCTCTCTCACTATTATTAAATTTCCAAATCGTAGCCCATGTATATGTCTTTGTAACTCCTTTCATGTCATCTGTTTTATAACAGAGATTTCTACAGTTCATAATAAGTTCGTGTACCTTTGCACGTGTGTATACGAGGTATACGGATATACCCCTATAACGCGGAACCAATCTGCCGTGTTATAGGGGGGATTCTAACAATTTCTAATTAAACAAAATACTTATTTTTAATCATATATATAAATACTCACCATTATGATGGCCATTATATAGACGACAGTTATTAACAATTAATTTAAAATCATTGCGAAAATCACGAAAGCTGTTATATTCACCACTATCCAATTTATCTTCCATTTTCAACAAATCCATTGGCCTAAACGGAAGGAAAATAAATTAATATATATTTTGTTAGCTCAACAATAATAATAAATACTCAATAATTATAATTACCTGCGTATAATAGAGTAATAACGAGGCGCTATATCTTCCTCAACTGGATCCATGAATGGCCAAGCGTCGCGATGATTCTTAACATAGACGAGCACTTTGTGCATACCAATTTGTAATACTTCATCCGTTTCAGTAAAACTAAGAAAATTTGTATTCGAAGTGGATATATTTGACGACGAATAGTTAAAACATTTTGTTGTTGAGTTTATTGTTGTTGTTGTAGAGATTTGTTGTTGATGTTGTTGTTGTTGTTGAATTGTTGAATTTTTGAAATTAGAATTATTGTTTAAGTTGAAAAAATTATTACAATTTTGATTAGTTTGCTTATTATTATTACTATTTTGTGAGCTATTAGCATATTTAAGAAAACATTTTGTTGCTGCTGTTGGTGTTGACGACAATAGCGCTCTTGTTGCTGTTGTTGCCGCGGTTGTATTTGATGAATTTCTTGTTGCAGACGAGGTATGGATTGTGGTATTGTTGCTACTAATTATATTTCTACATCTATATTACAATCGATGAAGATGATGATCATGGTAAATAATACGGGGTAGTAGTGGTGGTTGTGGTGGTGGTTGTGGTGAAATGATGTGGTGAAGGTTGTGATGGTGGTAATGTTGGTAGTGATAAATTTTTAATCAATTGGTATTATTGGTATTTTTTTTAATAATATATCATACGATATTTTTATGGGTGAAATGCATTTTTGTTGTATTTCATTGATTTCAAAAATTTACAATTTTAAATGGAATGATTATGTACAGGTATTTCGGAGGAAGGAAAAAAAATTATATGGAAAAGCAAAAAAAAATTTATATTAAATATTTACAAGAATTTAACAGAGGCTTACAATATCATTTACACATAATACAATAAAGCATGCAATCAAAGCGGAACTTAGTTTTTGGAAAATTTGCATTAAATAAATGAGGAAAGATAGAGAAACTAAATAACTGTACATGAAGATGTGACTAATACAAAATGGTATACATAAATTGACAAAAATTATTCTATAGAAGTAAGTAAAAAAAAAAGTATTATTAAATAATAAACAAAGATTTCAATATTATTTAAAAAAAAACGAAAGAAATAAAAATTATAACAAATCTCATGTATTTTTTATTTATTGTGGAAATAAAACCTTAATTTAACAACTGTCTTATAATGTTAATAGCCCCTAATACACTTGAGTAATTTTGGTGCATTAATTTTTAATGCTTGCCACACTTAATGATTTCTGTAGATTGAAAATTCGTATATATGAGCACTGCTTGTATGTGGGTGTACGTGCGTGTACAAAATCAAAAAGAACATTTCGTTCCACATGTAAATCTAAAACATGTATGTATTGATGTGAACACTACTTCAATAGCATCAAAGGATAGGTAAAATTTTAATTCATTAAACATAGTAAACTGTGCGAAAACTGTTATACTACTGTTATAAAACTGTTATAACTGTTATAAAACTGTTTTAAAACTGTTATAAAACTGTTATAATTGTTATAAAAAATAATTTTAATCTTCAATTTTACTTAAGTATGACATAGACAAATTAAACATTATTATATTTTAACTAGAAGATTGTTTAATAAATTTGTTGAACGTCATCTTGCTGTCAGTAGTGTAACTAATAATTTAAATATTGTAAAATCAAAACCAAAACTTTATTTTTATGTATAAACTGTTTATTGTTCTTTTAAAAACAATTGAAATTCATACCAAAACGAGTAATGTATTATGCACGACAGCTTGTTTGAAAACATTGATTTAAAAATCGACTTGGTTATTAAAAAATCTGAAGGTGATTCATGTGAAGAATGCCAAAAACTGCATCAACACCAGAAATTATTACATTCATGTGAAGAATGCCAAAAACTGCATCAACACCAGAAATTATTACAAAAATACAGGACATAGTTTTGGAAGATCATCAACTGACCGAAATAGAATCAGTAGAGATTAGACATTTAATAGATACAGTAAGCAATACTTTATATACTTTATGAATTTCAAAAACCTGTATGGAGAATGGCTACGGCAGTCACGGAAAGTGCAATATTGGAATGATGCAATATTGCAATATTGTGCAATATTTTGTCATTAATACGTAAAGTGTTTTAGAAGAACTAACAGATTTTGTGTGGATCTACTAAAATAATTGCAAATTAAAACAAGAAGATGAGAGGGTAGTCTAAACCCGGCTGTTTGGCTCCAAAGCAAGTTCATGGCTGCAAATCGACCAAAAAGTTGTTAATGGATTAAAACCAAACTGATAAATTGATAAACACAGATTATTACTAGAACTTTTATGGGCTAATTGGATTTTATGAGCCAGGACTTTATTAAATAAAAGAAAATCTTTTTCGTTAGGACAATTCACGTAATCATATAACTATGATTAGCACCAAAATCAATGGATTAAATTAGGAATTATTGGAGTGTAAATCTACTTTCTACATTTCGCTCTCTGGTTTTTCACTCTTTTCTCAACTTTAAAAAATTATTTCGTAATAAACAAACAAAGTCAGAGTACCTTATCCATTTTACCAGATTTCAATCTCATTTTACTCTTTTTTCACATCAAAAAAATACCTGCCTTAGAAGAATTTTTTATAGATCTTTGATAAAACTACTACAGAGATGCAATTCATAAATTGTAGGATCGTTGGAATAAGTCTATTTAGTAGAAGGTCCTTACTTATACTAACAAATAAATGTGTTTTTACAATTAGAAATGAGTTTTATTATTTCGGTTCCACAAATTAATAAAAACAAGAAATTGAACCAAAGGAAGATTACTCTACGAAACTTGAATTTCCCTCTCAAAACACACAACATTGTTTCTAAACGTTAGAATAATCTTATGTTAATAATACAGATAATATTACAGATATATTCACATATGCATATTTTATAAATAGAAGGAATGAATGAATGAATGATTTAAACTATTTGTTAGAAATAAAATATATAAAGTAAGTGTTGCTTAAGCTTAAGTTGAAGAAATAAAATATATAAACATAAATACACTAATAGATTTAACTAACCAATTAGTTTTTTGTTTTTTTTTTTTGTGAAATTACAAATTTTGAAGATTCTAAAGATTCTAAGTTAAAAGTATACATCTTAAATGAAAATACAAAAGTAACTACAACAAGCAACAGCAAAAAATTCGCATAAAACTTAGAGAGCATAATCTGAATATTACAGCAAAAACTAAAAAGAAAAGAATATCAATCTATTAACTCGATTACTCACTCTTCGGTAGGAGGCTTCTGCGAAGTAGATGCAACGACAGCTTTCTTCTTGTTACTTCCAGTGCTACTGCCTGCAGCAGCATTGCTATTGCTGGTTTTCTCATTCGATCCACTACTCGTATCCGCCGTGGAGGATGTGGCGGTTGATGCGTTGGACGATTTTTGTTTCTTGCTCGTCACTGCTTTACTTGTTTTTGATTTGCTGTTACCTTTGGACTGTTGCAAAGAAGGTGGTGGTATAAAAATATTTCCCGTCAGAGAAGAAAGCGAATTATTTGTTTGCCTGCCAGGCAATTTGGTATTAGTTGTCGGTGCCATTTCCTGCACAATATCGCTACCAACTTGCTCCCTTTTGATTATGGCCTGCTGTTGTGCAGTTGTTGATAAATTCGTTACAAGATCGTGTACTTCACTATTGTGAGCAGCACTTGTAGCGTGCAAATCGACGTCAATAACTTCACTGGAACTTAAACGACGTCGACAGAAATTCTCCTTGTCTTCTGGACTTAGAGAAGTCGCATGCACATGATTTCGATGCTTGCGCGCACGATGCGAATGATGACTCTTGCCACTATTGTGACTGCTGCTGTTGCTCACACTTTGATTGCTATTACTACAATTGTTAGTTGTATATTTATGACGTCGACGATGTTCCTTTGATTTCTTCTTTAGTTTTTTTTGAGATTTTTTCTTTTTATGATGTGATTTTTTGGTTTTTACAGGTGGTGTGGGAGCAATAAACTCTATATTTTCTACTTTAGGAGCTTTATCTTCGAGAAAATTAGTTGTTGAGTTTAAGTATGAGTCTGCAGACTCATGCAAAGCTGATGATGGGTTAAGCTGACTAACGTTATGTTCAACTGATTTCAATTCAAAATTATAGTATAAATACTCAGCACTTCTCTCCTCTGTACCAATATTTCCGTTTTCGTCGCTTTTGTTTTCAACTTTTATACTTTCAGTATTTATTGGTGATTCCTCCTTTTCCAAGTCTGCTATCGGTAAAGGTTTTAAATCATCAACTTCAGTATCATCTTCATCTTCAGGTGATAGACAAAATGTTTCTCTATGGCATAAAAAATCGCTGGAATTGGTTGTGGTGGTTCTTAACAAGGAACTAGCATAAGTTGATACACCACTCGCTGTTGATGTAGACTGAGATCTATAATATATACAAAAATAAACATCAGTAACATATAAGACTTTTTTTTCCTTATTGATCTTTAACTATAATCTATAATCTAAAATTACATATTATCAAAGCTTTCATAAGATGATAAGATATGACTTTTTTAATGATTAATTAATGAAGAAATCGTATGGATTAGTATAGATGATGTATTGCTGTAGTCTTTCAAAATTATTGGGCAAATAAGCAAAATAAATTAAACAAAAAAATATATTGGAGGAGTTATATTGGAGGAAATAAACAAATTCGAAAGAATAAAAATAAGAAATTTTAGAATAAAAAGCATGCTTACTTATAATTTTTTTATTGAAAAACCAAATGATTGCCTATCCAATTCCAAAAAACTCATATGTAAGAAATCTGTATGTTTCTCAGTAAGTTGGTTCTTGTGGTCTGCACGTACGTTGTTGGTCCTCTGTTGTCAGTCGTATTTACCGATTACTGATCTCGTTTGTTGGCACTACCACAGCCACTTCGACAATCAATGGATTCGACGAATCAGTCGAACTTTTGTATATGTAAGCCAAAATATATAACTTCGTTTTTAATGATTTTAATTTTTATATCTTTTTTTTCTATATTTTTTTTTTTCTATCTTTTTTCCATTTTTGAATGAATATGATTTTATGTTATAAATTTAACGAGTATGTTGAAGTGCCAAACAAATTTAGCTGACCAAGCGTACTTATATTATTTTTAAAGTTATTAGTTATTCAGTCAAAGGATCCAAGTTGTATAAACAAAAAATTGATGTTCGTTGGGAATTAAAATAAAAATATGATAACTGAGAATTATTGCAAATTTTAGGTTTTAATAAAAATCAACATAAACACAATCGGTAATTGTATTTGCGAAACTGTTCTGATGCGATAGATAATGTGTGAGATTGCACTATGTTACGATTATTATGATTGAGTGTAACTGATCAAATTTTTATATATCTTTGTTTATTATAACATATATTAAGTAGATGATTTTTTATGAATCAAGCAAAAATGAGAGAAAAAAAATTGCTTTAATTATGTATATTTGTTAACTGTGATATGCTTTTGACTATAGCTTTATGTGTTTATATGTTTGGTTTGATGTTTTGATTATTGTTATTATTAATTATTTAGTTATTGTTGATATTTGTGTCAGTTGTTGTAGTGATATCATTAGAGGCATTTTCTCTCGCTAACCGTCT